GTGGGAATTAAATTTTGATCTCGGCAGTTGCATAGGAATGCGAGGTCACATAAAATGGAAGCTCTTTGGACTTCAAGTTTTTCATAAGTCCTGGTCAGATGGTGGGTTTCCTCCCCGTAGAGGTGCAATATTTGTTTTCTGAGGTTCTCGCGGGTATTTGTATGTGGATCTTTGGTTATTCGGGTTTTCTCCCGCGTAAGATTGGAAGTATCTAGGCAACGTTTCGATGAAATCGAAGATTTCAATCTTACTTCCAATCTTACGCGGGAGAAAACCCAAATAACCAAAGATATATATATATATATATATATATATTGTGACTGAAAGGATCGATCCTGCTGTGAGTTTTGATTCTGATGACTCTGAGGATGAAAGGTTGTAACCTGCTGAGAATTTGGAGTCTGAATTGTTAGAAGACACAGATGTGAGCCAGGGGGATGAGAGGTTATCACACAGACATTCTTCGCCTGAACCCTCAACCTCATTCATGCCTGCAATTGAGCCACAAAATGAGTCAGAAGAGTCGAGCGAGGAAGCTGACAGATCGTGGCTTGATGCCAGAACAAGAAGGAGGCTGAAACGTCAAGCTGTTGGGAGGCATCAGGCCAGACGTTGATTTAGGGAGATTGACACGCCCATCTAGGTGGTTTACGGAGACAAACTCAGTTAGAAGGGAGGGCGAGTCAGTAATTAGCACGTTGCCTCAAGGATTATAAAAGGACACAGCTGTGTGGGGGAAGATTGTCAGGAACAAAGTGACTGATTACATGCAGAGGTTTTCAGCAGAGGCTCGGAGCTTTGAGAATTTGTACCAGGACTGTTTTGATAAACAGGGCGTGTGGAATATAATCTTGTAGAACTCCTTTCTGTTGGATTTAAGTTTTGGAATGGCTGCTTTTGGTTTTGTGTTGTTTGAACTCTGAAGGGGGAGCCATAACATTTTTGTTCCTGACCACAAACAAACCATCTTTGAAGCAAGATGGATTCAAATCAACTGCAGTGTTTGGTAGAGCAACAACAACAACAAATAACTCAGCTTTTGCAAAGTAACGTGACACTTCAAAATCAGGTAACACAATTGCTGAATTATGTTTCCAGCTTACCAAGCACTGCTGCTGCTTTCCCTGCCCCTCCTGTGAGGAAAAGCCCGGTATCCATGCCAGAGAAATTTTCTGGGCAAATGGACAGGTTCCCGGCATTTATGGGTCAATGCCAATTGTTTATCTCTCTGAGACCTGAAGACTTTCCAACCGACCGGGCTAAAGTAGGCTTTATGATTAGTTTATTAACTGGGCAGGCTGCCAATTGGGCTACTCCCTTGTTAGTTCAAGATAGCCCGTTATTGAACAATTTCCAGGGTTTCCTCCAACAAATGAGGGTGATGTTTGAGGATCCCATTAAGGTACAAACTGTGGACAGACGGCTAATGGATATTAAGCAGGGGAAACGTTTACTACAGGAATACGTGGCAGAATTTTGTTTGTTGTGCATGGACTCTAACTGGAACGAACCGGCTCATATGGCTGCATTCCAGGAAGGCTTGTCTGATGCCATCAAGGATGAGCTAGTCCATGCAGAGCGGGCTTTAACTTTGGATGCATTGATAGTTCAGTGCTTACGTATTGAAGCTCATTTACAGCAACATGGGAGCAAACGGCCTGTTGTGGAACCACCTGTGTTTTCTCGCACACGCATCACGCCACCGAGAGTTTTCCAACCCACGGTTCAGGCTGAGGAGCCGATGGAGATAGGTGCACTCCACCCTCGCCTAACGGCGCGAGAACGTTCAAGAAGGTTCCAGGAAGGCTTGTGCCTTTACTGCGGGGGTCCGGGACATTTTGCAAATTCCTGCACTTGGAGAGGGACTCACAGACCTGTGCCCGAAACCACTCCTGGCCCGTCGGGAAACAGGGTAGGCCCGACCTCGGGGAAACCCTAGGTCGGGCACGTTCTACACCCCCACCCCAAATTGCTGGTCAGATGGTGGGTTTCCTCCCCGTAGAGGTGCAATATTTGTTTTCTGAGGTTCTCGCGGGTATTTGTATGTGGATCTTTGGTTATTCTGGTTTTCTCCCACGTAAGATTGGAAGTATCTAGGCAACGTTTCGATGAAGTCTCATTCATCATCTTCAGGCTTCTGTCTTCAGCTCTGTGCTTCTCAGAGTGATGTGAGCTTGCAGCTGCTTCTTCCTTTTAACTGCTAGTGGGGGTGTGACTTGATTGGGTGGGGGCTTGGCTGTGTTCTGATACTTCCAATCTTACGGGGCAGGGGGAGCAGCAGCAGGGCTTTGTAAGCTGGAAACATAATTCAGCAGTTGTGTTACCTGATTCTGAAGCATTACATTGCTTTGCAGTAGCTGGTTTATCTGCTGTTGTTGCTGCTCTACCAAACGCTGCAGTTAGTTTGAATCCATCTTGCTTTAAAGATGGTTTGTTTTTGGCCAGGAACAAAAATGTTATGACTCCCCTTCAAAATTCAAGCGAGCAACACAGAAAGCAGCCGTTTCAAAAGTAAATCAAACAGAAAGGAGTCTCACAAGATAACAGCTGTCATAAATCACAATCCACAGCAACAAGCCTTGCTCTGTTCGGCAAACCAGTCCTGGCAAAAACTCTCAAGCCTCAGAGCTTCTGCTGTAACTTCTTCACGCAATCAGTCACTTTGTTCCTGACAAATTTTACCAGCCCAGCTGTGTCTTTTTATACTCATGGAGGCAGCGGGCTAATTTCCTTAATTACTGGCTTGCCCTCCTCCTTCGTTCCAGCTGGATTTGCCTTCTTAAACGTCGTCTGTTCCTGACGTTTAACCATAAGTCTTCCAAGTTCTCATCTCCACTAGAAGACTCTCTCAAAACTTCCCTGTCAGCCATTCCCGGCTGTTGATCAGATAAGGAACCAGAAGAGGTCAAAGGTCCTGACAATTCCAATACTTCAGGTCTGTCTTCCCTTGTCACATCCATCTCCTCATCCTGGTTACTATTCAAATCACTGAGCCATGCCGGCTCATATTGTTCTGCCATGTCCTCCTCACTTGAACTCAGATCTTCCACAGGAGCAGAATCCAAGCCCGGAACCACAACATACATACATACATACATACATACATACATACATACATAC